CTGTACAAAAGCTTTTTATCTTGATGAAATCCCAATAGTTCATTTTTGCCTTTGTTTTCCTTGTCTTTGGAGACCTGTGTAGCAAAAAGTTGCTGCAGCTAAGGTTGAAGAAGTTGCTGCCTGGGTTCTCCTCTAGGGTTTTGATGGATTCCTGTCTCACATTTAGGTCTTTCATCCATTTTGAGTCTATTTTTGTGTGTGGTGTAAGAAAGTGGTTCAGTTTTATTCTTCAGACATTTCTCCAAAGAAGACATACAAGAGGCTAACAGACACATGAAAAAATGCTCACATCACTCAGCATCAGGGAAATACAAATCAAAACCAAAATGAGATTCCACCTCACACCAGTGAGAATGGCTAAAATTAATAATTCAGGAAACCACAGATGTTGGTGAGGTTATGGAGAAGGAGGGACCCTCTTGCACTGTTGGTGAGAATAAAATCTTTTGCAACCACTCTGGAAAAGAGTATGATGGTTCCTCAAAAAGTTGAAGATAGAGCTACCCTATGACCCAGCAATTGCACTACTAGGTATTTATCCAAAGGATGCAAACAGTGATTTGAAGGGGCACATGTACCCAAATGTTTATAGCAGCAATGTACAATAGCCAAAATATGGGAAGAGCTCAAATGTCCCTCAACAGATGAATGGATAAAGAAGAAGTGGTGTTTACGTACACACACACACACACACACACACACACCAGAGCCATCAAAAAGAATGAACTCTTGCCATTTTCAATGATGTGGATGGAGCTAGAGGATATTATGCTAAATGAAATAAGACGGTAAGAGAAAGACAAATACTATATGATTTCACTCATATGTGGAAATTAGGAAACAAAACAAATGAATGCAGGGAAAGGGAAGAAAACATAAAATGAGATAAAAATAAAGAGGGAGGCAAACCATAAGAGAGGCTAAACTTGAGGAAACCACCTGAAGATTCTGGGATGGGGAAGGAATAATTGGGTGATGGACATTAAGGAGGACACTTGATGTCATGAGCACTGGTATAATATACAACTGATGAATCCCTAAATTCTACACCCGAAACTAATAATACAGTATATGTCAACTAAACTGAATTTAAATAAAGAATTTAAAAAATTTTTAAAAAGAAAAAAAAGGAAAAGACTATTCCTATTTCTAGGAAATAAGTAAAATTCCAATTCTAAACTATTGATTAAAGGAAAAAACGTTGCCCAAAACACACAAAATTACATTCAAATCCACTAATAACCAAATACATGAAACTTTAAGCAATAAAATATATTTTTTATCATTTTTGTAAAGAAAAAAGTGAACTACCTGATGTTGAAACTCATGAACAATGTTTCTAGAACCACAAACTGTGAATCTTTTCTGTATTAAGAGATGGAAAGTTTTTTCTATTCCTTTTCCCAGTAAGAATTGATTGTGAGGAAAAAATCAGAGATGCATACAAAAATTTCATCTCTAAGTTTTTATAAAAATAGAAAAAAGGAATTGTCAAAACTGATGGAATGGCAAGGGAGAATACATCTATAAAGTGTAATATTATCAAGCTACTAAATTGAAATTTTAGAAGAACACTTAAGTATGAAAATGTACTAATAAAAAATCAGTACCAATAAAATACTTGGGAAAATCCCAAATACCTGGAAATTAACAACATTCTTTTAAATAATTACTGAATCAAGGAAAAATAATAATGGCTATTAGAGACTATTTAGAACTGAATAAAATATTTAAAAAATATACCAATAATCCAGAAGAAAGTAGGAAGAGTGAGCAGAGAAAGACAAATCAGAGGAAAAAAAAATTGAAAAACAGAAGGCTTAAATCTAACCATATCAATAGTAACCAAACTTTGGGATTCAGCTCCACAAGTTTTAGAATCAAACCCTCATAACTTTTAATGCTGATATTAGACAAGAAGAAAGGTTGAAATCGAATGACTCAATGTACCATTTTAAGAAGCCAGAAACTGGGTGGGGGGGGGACCTGGTGACTCAGTCAGTTCATGCACTCTTGATTTTGACTCAGGTCATGATGTCATGGTCGTGAGATTGAGCCCTAGCTCAGGCTCTGTACTGGGTGTGGAGCCTGCTTGGGATTCTCTCTGTCCTTCTTCAGTCCTTCCCTCTCATTCCCAATCTCTCTTTAAGAAAAAAAAAAAAAAAAAGGGCAGCAAGAAACAGAGGAGCAGAGCAGAAAACATATTCATTGTCTATTGTTGTGTTTCTATTACAACAAATAAAGCAGCTTAAACCAACAAATGTATATTTCTTGCAATCTGAGTGGGTGAGGGGCCTGGAACTTCCACTGGGTATTTCACTCAAGGGGTCACAAGTCTGAAATCCAGTGTCAGTTGACTGCATCCTCATAGGGAGGCCTAACAAGAGCAAGATCCCCTCTTGAGTTCCCTTCATTTCCTTTCTGCTGTGTGGGTGAGGTCCTCTTGTTCTTGCTCCAGTGGCCTGGGGACCAGCCTCAGCTCCTGCACATGGTCCCTTTCTTCATGCACCCTTTCCAGCATGTGACTTGCTTCTTTGAGGCCTGTAGGAGAATCTCTCTGATGCTTCATTTCTTTTTCAAGACATACCTGATTAGATAGCTTGGGAAAATCTCCCTTTTGATTAACCAAAGATCAATGATTAGAAGCCTATATATTGAGTGATAGCTCATCATATTGACAAGTCTTGATCACATTCAAGAAGAGAAGATAAGACAAGGATGAGGGTCTTTGGGGGCAGGAATCTTAGGATCCATCTAAGAGTTCTGACTACTACATACAAAGTAAGTCAGAGGAATAAAACCATAAAGATAACAGAAGAAATCAACATACTGAAAAACAAAAAACCAGAATCAATTAACAAAGACCAAAGTCAATTCTTTGATAAACTGAGAAACTTAGCTAAATGGATCAAAAAGTAAAGGAGGAAAACCATCATCAATACTAGGAATGAAAGAAAGTCAGCACTAAATTAGAAATTATTATGTAAAATTTTATGTTAATAAAATTGACAACTAAATGAAATGAGCAAATTTCTTGGAAAATACAACTTGTCAAAATTGACACAAAAAGAAAAAAAAAGTGAATAGTCCTCCATCAATTAAGAGCTTAAGTTCTTTATCAAAAAACTTTCCCATGAAGAGAAATCCAGGTCCAAACAGCCTTGCTGGTGTATTCTATCAAATATCCAAGGAGGAAACATTTCAATTCTATACCAACTCTTTCAGAAAATTGAGGAGTATTACCAAGGCGTACTAGTAATAATTTTAAAAAGAAATGAAAACTCCACTTACATTGGCAAACAGTATAAAACAATTAGGAATAAATTTAATTAAAAATGTGCAAAATAGAACTACAAAAATGGAAAGCTGTATGAAGTTCATGGATAGGAAGACAGTTTTTAAGATGGTGGCTCTCTTCAAATTCATTTATAGATTCAAAGCAATCCTAATTGAAATTCTAAGAGGCTTCCTTGAATACATTGAAAAATCCATGTAAAAGTTCATATGGAAAGGCAAAAAGCCTGGGTTAGTTAAAACAATTTAGGAAAAAAACAACAACGTAGTTAGGAGCTTATACCAACAATCTCAAGACTTAAAGCAACAGTAATCAGGAAAGCGCGGTTTTGGGCATAAGGACAGATGTGTAAGATCATCTACTGGTAACCCAGAGGTAGGCTAACATTGATATGGCCCATTGATTGCTGGCAAGGTTATAAAGTAATTCTATGGGAAAGAGGTAGGCTTTTTATTTTTGTTTTGTTTCCTAAGGAAATGGTGGCAAAACACCTGGATGTCTGTATGGGGAAAAATCAACATCAACTCTTACCTCATGCTTTATACAAAAATTAACTTGCTATGTACCACATATCTAAATATAAGATAAGTTAAAAACTGTTACATTTCTAGAGGAAAATGTGAAAAAGATATTTATAATATTCAGTTAGGCAAATAGTTTTGAAACAGGTTATACAAAACGTGAACTATAAGAGAAAAAAATGGTAAATAATTTCTATTAAATTAAAAATCTTTTCTGTTTGAAAGACACAGTTAAAAGAATATAAACACAGGTCACAAATCAGGTGGAAATATTTGCCAAACATATGTCTGACACAGGGATATATATCCCAAATACATAAATAACTCCAATAATTGGATAAGAGATGAACAACTCAAATTAAAAAGAAGCAAAAGAATGCTTATTCAGCAAATGGTGCTGGAACAAGTGGATGTTCACAGGAAAAAAAATAGTATTTTCCCTATACTATACATGTATAAAAAAAAAGTCACTTTGAATGGTGCATAGACCTGAATGTACATGTGAAAACTATAAAAATTCTAGCAAAAAGTAGAAGAGAATATTTTTGACCTCACAGTATACTTTCTTAGATAGGAAACACAAGTAGGTTCATAAAATTAAAAAGTTGATAAATTGCACTTTTTCAAAACTAAAAACTTGTGCTCTTCAAAAAATACCATTAAGAAAATGAACAGCAAGCTACAGACATAGAGAAGATATTTACAACTTGTACATCAGACCAGAATAAAAAACTAAAGACTCCAAACTCTTGCAGAAGTGGAAGGTGTGAGCAGACCCTTCACAGAAGGTCTGCAGAGAGCCAATAAGGACTTGAGAAGAGAATCAGCATCACGGATCAGCAGAGAAATTAAAACCACAGTGAGATCACACTACACTACAACACATACTCTTTGCAGTGGCTAAAGTTCAAGACTGCCAATGCTAAGTGTTGCCAAGGGTGTGGAACTACTGTAGCTATCAGTCAGTGCTCGTGGGCATGTGACATGGCACAGGTGTTTTGGAAAAGAGTATCAAGCCTCTTCAAACCTTAAACATAAATCTACCATGTGAGTCAGCAATTCTACTCCCAGCTATTTACAAAGGAGCCATGGAAACATGTCCACACAAAAACTTGTATGTAAATTTCCATAGTAGCTTTATTTCAAATAATGATAAATGAAACAATATAAATATCCATTTACAGAGAGATGGATAATAAAAATGTATCACATCCTATGGAATATTATTTAGCAATAGAAAGGACTATGCTGTTGCTGTTTGAAACAATGTGAATGAGTCTCAGATTCTTCTGCTTAGTGAGTGATGCCAGGCACAAAAGAGTATACGCTGTATGGTGCTATTTACATAAAACGTTAGAAAATACACCCTAGTCTATAGTGACAGAAAGCATCTGGTGATGGCAGAAGATAGTGTGGAGGGAAAAATGTGTTCCTCAGGGCAGGAGAACACTGGGGAGTGATGGAGATGTTTGGGATCTTGATTGTGGTGGTTTCTTATTTTCTTGGTATAACATGAAATGGTATACTTCAGATATATGCGATTTATTGTGTTTAAATTGTTCTTCCAGACATTTGTAAATAAATAAATATAATGTAAAGAAAGAAATTATCATTATGTCTTAAATCTTGAGGTCTTAAATGTTACCTTCCTGACTAGCTGGAAACATGACGTCCTCTTGGATATTTTCCCAATTCTTCCTTAGCCTCTCCTTTGCTGCTGATGGGTGCTGTTTGCCCTCAGTTTGAGGACCTGGATACGGAGTTCTGGGAAGAGGGTCTGCACCCCATCAGAACTGTTCTGAGCACCAGAGAGCCCCTTGCTGTCCCCATCTTTCGCTGGCATCATGGATCTTGCCCACGTGAGAGGCTGCCGTCCTGGTGTCTGACGTGCCCTCCTGCAGAATGACTCTTACTGGCCCCGGGATGCTGCCTTGATGCCGCCTCTCTCCCTTGGGGACTTTGCCTTTTGTCACCACTCTTTCAGATGGGTTTCCCACAGCTGGGACCTTGTGGCATGTCCCTCTCCCCCCTATATGGCTCTATTCTTCCTGGAACTCAAAGTTGGGAGGCATTTGGGGCCAAATTTAAGCATAGATACAGATTACACCTGGATTTTTTGCTGTCTCTAAAGGCCAGGCATACATTCTGGAGAGCATTTTGTACCTGTTAATATGGAAACAAGACATAGAAGTCACTCTTTCATAACAAAAATATATATTCCCTCTTTAGGAAGGACAACACTCCCCCACCCCCCTCAGCCAATTAGTTTGCCAGCCAAATTCATGAAGCTAAGATTAAAACCTCAAATTGGATTAAGCTTTGCTGTATGTTACACTTCCCCTTACCCAGGATTCTGACACCCACGGGGAAAGGAATAATCTTTGGAAACACACTTTGTTCTTTTTATCTTGCTATTCCAAAGGTTTGCAAAGCCTTGCTGTGTTTTTTACTTGAAGCCCTAAACAGGGCAGGTATAAAATCAACGTCGTCCATGGCATGTATCAGCCGAAGTACACCGGTCCTCAGTGAATGCACCAGCTGGCGACGGCCTATCGTTTTTACAGCGAGCGCAAGTTTAGTCTCACCCCAGGTGACAGATCCCTTATTCACGTGAATAAAAGGCACTCCAAGCAACTCTGCCGCTTTTCTGGAGACCTAGGAACAGATGGTATGCTTTTTAAATGCTTTCTTCCGTGGTGGACACTCAGCTCTTTAATTATTTGGGAGTCGGTGGGCAAAGGGAGGGGTCTGTCCCGTGGGTCCACTGACTGCCTGCGTTGCTCCCTCCTCTGTTGACTCGGGCCACGTGGGCTCCCGGCGACACGAGGCTTTGCCGTCTGAGTCGTGAGAGTCACCGGCTCTCCTGGGCCTCCAGGGTTGGTGCTGATCCCTGGAGCCTCCAAACAGTTCGTGCTGAACAACCAAACCGTGGAGCTTGACTGCCCCAGGTATGGGGGAGTTTGATCCTGGGGGAGAGGAAGACTCATGAAGGCCCCCAATTCTGAGCAGATTGGTGTGTGTCCTGTATCTGTATTCGTCCTCTTCATTACCAGTCACTTACCACCTGTCCATCTAAAAGAGGAAACACAGTGTTTCAATTGTTCATGCAGAAATGGCGCGGTCAAAGCGTTCGGCACCCGGAGCACATGGTCATGACAGCACTCTTGTGATCCTGGCTAAACCACTCGCCCTTCCTCCTCATTCCACAAGTGTGGGAGGGGAAGGCCCACCTGCCCTGCTTTCATGTGTCTCTACTGTGTAGAAATGCGGCGTTTACTGAAATGCTGCCCATTCTGTTCCCAGAGAACATGCGGACTCAGGCGCGGGGTGGGGTGGGGGCAGACCTTCACCCAGCCTGCTGGATGGAAGGAGAAGCATGCTTATGGAGAACAGGGGGAAGGCATCAGGTGCTCCCAGGGTCTTTGAGGGCCCCTCTGGGTAGGGGTCTAGCGGTCCAGAGCTGATGGTGCACATGGGAGATTCTCATAGTTTTCTGCAGGATCTTCATAGGCCTGCCCTGCCGTGTCTTCTGGTTGTGCCTTCTTCAGCTCCGAATAGATGACTGCAGGTTCCTGGTGGAAATCCCACAAACAGTGAGCACCTAAGCACAGGCGAGGGGAGGAGAGCTCTGCGAGAGAGAGGCGGAAAGCGTGACCCACCTCATCCTTCCGATGTGTCCTTGGTGAACGTGCTGTTGGATGGGAGGAGGGAAGACAGCATTAGTCTGTGGGTGACATATTCCAACTTACAATCCACTCACAATGCATTTCAAAATCTCCCTTCCGCAACTGGGCTCTTAATGGTTTTCTCTGTGGGGTTCTTCTGCCCCCACACACTGAAAGCCTTTCCCCTGCCCACCATATGCCCAGAGTGACTCTCTTGATGATTTCCTTCTCTCTCCACTGCTCATCTCCCCAGCCAAGCAGTCCCCCTGCTCCCATCCCGCCCCCCGTTCAGGGCCTCTGTGGGTGCACTGACTGGGAGAAAGTGGAACACAGGCTTTGCTTCATGCGGGGAAAGTGGAGGAGGCTGGAGAGGGGGTTGGCATTCTAAGGCCACACAGCAAATTCCCAGCGAAGATCTGCAGTGAAGCAGTAAGAAAATTCAGCGTGTGTGTTTCTTCTCTTTCCAAGGGTCCTCTGGATCTCTTTCATTCATTTATTAGTAAGTACTCTGTAAACAATGACCTTCTATTAAGCTACAAGGACAGAGAAACAACAAACAAACTCAGTCCGTGTACCCAAGGAGCCTATAATTTTTAAGAGGAACAATGGATGTGTAGATGCATGCCACAAGTAGGATGGGCACCAGAGGGAAATACATAATGAACTGCTGTTGCCAAAAGGCTAACCCATCCTCCCAGGCTTGGACACAGGGAGGGCTGGGGGGAAGTTTCATGGAGGCACCTGAACTATGTCTTGACATGTGAGCAGGGGTCACTGGGTAAACTAGGTGGGGGAAGGGCGTTTCAGGCAGATGAGACACATGATCACGAGAGCATGCAACATCCCAGTGTGAGCAGGAAGATGGGGAGGGTCATCTTGGCTGGAGTAAGGCCAGAGCTCTGGGAGGGGCCGAAGAGCAGGAGGAAGCGAGGGTCCAGCTTTGGAAGGAAGGGTCACCGAGGCCGTGAATCCAGGCCAGGGTGTGATAGGCAGGGCCTCTCAGAGGGATCGTGCTGGAAACCGTGTCTGGGGGCCAGAGGAGGATGAGATTAGAAATCAGACCATTTGGGAGAATTATGATTGTCTACACATTAGGTTATGCGAGGCTGACACTAGCAATGAGCAGTCATGCATTCTTTGAAAACGATATTTGAAGAGACCCATAGTTTCCTAAGCACCGCACTGGGTGCTACTGGTAAGTTCGTGGAAACACAAGTGTCTGTCCTCAGAGAGTTTGTGGGGTCCAGTGGCAGTGCACAAGGGTCCAAGGGAAGGGACACAGCCATATGGTGGCAGTGTGGGAGCAGATGATGCCTTCCTTCTGCGGCCCACTCATACTTGAGAGGCCTGATCTGAGGCCCCTCGTGGATCCTCTCACGCAGGGCTGCCTCACCTGCCCTGGTCAGGAAGGGCTCTCACCTGGGTTTCCGCTTGTTTGCTGGCTGCTCCAGATCTGGGAATACACCAGGTTGTCATCTCCAGGATTCACTGTGAGAGAGGTGATAGCTCGCTCCAGCCAAGAGCCCACGTTCTAGACTCTTCTCAGCTACTCAGTTCATCTTCTGTCTCAGACACGGTGCCAGGAGTGTCATTTTCAAGCTGAGTGTGACTCAGTCTTGGGCAGTTGCTCAATCTCCCCTCCCACCTTGGTTCATCCCTGGGGCCCTGGGCTACTTAGGAAGTCTCACCATTGCTGTACACTGGCTGCAGCTCCATCATGGCTGGTGGCTCAGAGTGGGGGGGCTTGTAGGGGTCTGTGCTGAAGGGTCCAGACCAGGAAGGCCCCTGATGCTCCTTGGGACTGTAACGGGGACAGACAGGGAGAGACACAGGGCGAGAAGGATTTGTGGATCACACCGAGTCTCAGGAAGACCAGTGTCCAGGAGGAGCCCAGCGTGGTCCCTGTAAACATATCACGGCTGTGGGGACGCCTGGCTGGTTCAGTTGGTTAAGAGTCAGACTCTCGATTTTGGTGTAAGTCATAATCTTAGGGTCATGAAATTGAGCCCCGTGTCAGGCTCCACGCTCAGTGTGGAACCTGCTTGGGATTCTCTCTTGGATCATTCCCTCCTTCTCCCTCTGCCCTCTCCCCACTTGTGCTCACTCACGCTCGCTCTCTCTCTCTCTCAAATAATAAATAAATAAAATATTCTCTAAAATATCATGGCTGCCTACCCTGAGTCTGCATGACTCTCTCAAGAGAACTCAGAAGGTGTGTGTGACGTGACATGCAGCCCAAGACAGTGTGACAGTGAGGGACGACTGACGCAAAGTCAGCAGGTCAAAGTGCGGAGTCTCAAGTACACAAAGACTTTTGCACCCCCAGGGAACATGACCTTCATCTTTTTTAAAAGGTCACTTTCAATATTCCAGCTCATATCACAATCATCTACCTTTCCTGTAAGATACCTTGGCGGATCTCCGGGAAAAGAGTGTTTTTTCCCCCACTTCTGTTTCCTTCTGCAATCAATATTGTGAACTGAACATTGCCAGAATTTAATAATTATGTCCCGAATGAGTGTGTGGTGGAGGAATGAGGGGGAAGTCTGAGGTGGAGCCCTGTGACAGAGGACACCACTAGGTGGGTGCAGTCAGCTCTCCACCAGGGCACATCTGGAGTAGTAGACTGACAAGGAGAGCAAGTGACATGAGTCCTGGGTATGCAGAGGTCTGAATGAGTATTATTCATAGATATGGCTGGAAGTGGCTTTCTGAATCACATTTTTGGATTTTGTAAGACTTTGAAAATGTTAATAGGAAGTCCAGTTAAATATTTTTTAATGTACATAGAACCCTGTGGCCCTGTCTTGTGGGTATGAATAGATCATGACAATCTTCTCAGCATACGAAATGAGGCCTCACCTGGGTGTTCCAGTGGCAGGAGGTCCTCCTGAAAAACAGAAGGTCGGTGATTATGAGTGAGCTGTGTAGGTAGTGGGCTCCCCATCAGAATGCCCTTTCTGGGAAATCAGATTCATTTTAGGTCTCAGCCATGGCAGATCTTAGAGAACATCAGGCTCTACCCCTCCAATGGCATATTACTGATGAGGAAGGTGGGGTCTGGAATGATGGTTGCCCAGAATCATACAGTAAAAGCACCATGCACTCTAAAGAGGTGTGGCCGAGTAGCACTAGAGAGACAACTTAGTACTTCACTCTGGGCCCAGTGCTTCCCCCTTCCTCTTCTCTGCCCTGGCCGCAGCCCCAGGAGATGGAGACCAGAGACAGAGTTCCTACAGCATGTGAATAAATAGGGCTCCCATAACCAGCTCGGACATATCTGTACCTGTGGTCCTTGCAAACCCAATCAGCGGGGTACATACTGTTTTCTCCACCTGTCTGATTCCAACTGATCTTTCCTCCTCCAGGGCTTTCCCTGGGGCCAGCAAGCTCTGAAGTGACCTATCTACACACACTGGAAACCTGCAGTATTAAAATCACCATACTGGATGGCAATTACCTATTTGTAGGTTTCCCTCCAACTCTCTCCATCACGAAAGAGGGTGTTACTTGAGGCTGCAACCTCGTCTCAATTATTTTTATTTTCCCAGTGGCTAGAATGTTGACAATATTCAGTAAAGTTTGGTTCAGCAACTGAACGAATTTAAGTATATACTTTGAGGACTAAAAAAAGGGAGGGGCACGTTGACAATTGTATAATAGGTGATTACAGGTAAATCTAATCTAGATGTCTACTTCATCAGCCTTGAAAATATGGCAGTTTTCCATCATCAGTGAGACACTGAAATCCTTTTGGCCTGCCCTAATGCAGGACTCCTCGTGGAGCCCATTCCTGACCACTGCCTATTTATCTGTGGCTCTGCATCTGTCTCACTGGACTTAGACACCATGAATTATTACCCCAAGTAAACATTCGCATCAAAAATGATTGATGTCTGCAAACCATGAATTAAACTAGAGGTGCGTGACAGCTCCTTAGAGAAATTGCGATTCGTACCAGTCAAGAGCCACTGTCCTCCCTTGTGGGTGGGTGAGCTAAGTCCCAGGATGTGTCTGCAAGTCCGTTTATCTCTTCATTTGCAAAAGACAGAATAGACCCAGAAGGTGGCTATTTACATGCCATAGGCCACAGGTTAATATCACTGAAGAGGTATGGGCTGGTCTGGGACTAAGCAGTTCACATGGATACCACAAAAATGGTAAATAGTATTGTTATGACCATAAAGAAACTGGGGCTTGGAGAGTTTAATTTACCTACCAGATATCAAGTATCTGGCAAATTACATTACTGGAATTTTCATCCCGGCAGTTCAGTCACAGAGTTAATACAGTTACCACTCTCTTTGGTAATGGGTTGGATACACTCAACTTTAAGGAGCAGAATTCTCTTTTCAAAAAAAATGGAGTAAATACCCAGCAGTACAATTGCTGGGTCACAGGGTAGCAACAAAACTGAGGGTTTTAGAGGGGAAGGTGGTGGGGGTGTTAGTCCCGTGATGGGTATAAAGAAGGGCACGTGTTGCTTGCAGTACTGGGTGTTCTACACAGTGAATCGTGGAACACTACATCAAAAACTAATGATGTACTGTATGGTCACTAACATAACATAATTAAAAAAAAAAAGAAAGAAAGAAAAAGTGGAAAGGGCTGAGCTCCTCCCTGAGCAGGCTGAATGATAATGAGAAGGAAGTTGGCAAGATTGTGAGATGAGGAAGTCAGATACCCTCTGACTGGTAGACTGTCAGAATTTCTTACTGAGTTTGCTGTTTAAAATAAGACTTCCTCTAGATCGAGAGGTCAGGACCTCCTGGGTTTCTGTTCTCATGGATCACATAAAATGATCATTGCTAATCTTGACTTCCCTGTGCCGGTTGCTGTACGGCTGACCAATCTATTTTTTGACCATTATTAACTTCAACGGCAAGGTCTTAATGTCTGCACTTCTAGTATGTTTTTAATTAGAAAGTGACACAAATACAGGTGATGAAACAGAAAAGTAGTTTTGAAAGTAGGGATGTGACCAGCCTTCCGTAAGTCACAAAGGTACAGTGGAGAGAATGTGGAGTCAAAGGCTAGGAAGAACCCCAAGTAAGCCCCAACTCTGACTCTTAATAGATACACGAGTTCGGAAAGATAACTTATGAAATATCTCCATTTCTTTCATCTCTAATATGGTGATAATAATACTGACTGAATTGAACTGAGATGTAGTTATTGAATAACTGGGAGTAGACAAACTACAAAATCGCATATAATAGGCTTTAAATGAGTGATACATTTTATGATGAGTACCATAAAGCTTAGTGCTCTTATTCCTTTCATATATATTTTAAAAAATGATATGTAGACTTAATTTACATGTAATGTTATTTAAGAAAATACTAAATAGCTTTAAAATATCAGTCATAAGATGTTGGTGCCATTTTTCATGCAAAGAAACAGGACAGAGGCTCATTGATTGACCTGAAAACAAAAGAGTAAGGAGACAATGCTTGATCAGCATCATTAAGAAAAAAATATGTAAGTTTTTTCATTAAATTGAGATCCAAATATTCTTTTTATTTCTCTGTTTGCTTGCTTGATTTTCAGTATAAGCCCTAAGAAAGGAAGAACAAAAGCATTTGGCCTGACAGAAAAGGAAGTGTCATGTTATGCCAAGTGAGAGACAGACAGAAAGAAAAGTTTTAGTAATTCCAAAATATAGAGTAGTGAAACCCAAGACACTGAATTAAAAAGTCCATTAGTTCAAGAATCCCTGATCCATGAAAAACATTTAGAGAGGAAAAAAACACAGTCACAGAAGAACAAAGGATGAGAGTGTATTTCTTGTCAGAAGCAATGCACACAAGAAGATAGTAAAGCAGTATCTTTAAAATATGTAAAGAAGAAAAAATTTCTACCTATAATCCTATAACAGCAAAGGCATCTTTCACAATGAATGCAAAACAGAGACTTTTACAGACTATATAAAACCTGAAATAATTCATCATCAGCAGACCCATCTATTAGAAATGTTAAAAGAAATCTTTGGGACAGGAAGAAAGTAATACCAGGTGGAATTTGAAGATACAAAAAGAAATAAAGGAAATCAGAAGCAGTAACTACTTAAGTAAGCATGTGAAATTCTTAAATTATACTTAAGTCTCTTAAATTATACTTAATAACTAACAGGTAAGTGACTGTATACAACAGTAATAGCACTGTAGCTAGGAGGGAAGAAATGGAGTGCAGAGTGGAATATCCTTTTTTAAAATATTTCACTTATTTCTTTCTTTATTTACTCATTTAGAGAGAAAGCGAGTGGGAGGAGAGTCGGAGGGAGAGGGAGAAAGAATCTCATGCAGACTCTGCAGCTCAGTGTGGAGCCCAATGGGAGGCTTGATCCCATGACCCTGAGATCGTGGCTTGAGCCAAAATCAAGAGCTGGATGCTTAACTGACCGAGCCACCCAGACGCCCTATAATAGTAATATTCTTTTTTTTTTAAAAGATTTTATTTATTTATTTGACAGAGAGAGAGAGAGATCACAAGTAGGCAGAGAGGCAGGCAGAGAGAGAGGGGGAAGCAGGCTCCCCGCTGAGCAAAGAGCCTGATGTGGGGCTCAATCCCAGGATCCTGAGACCATGACCTGAGCCGAAGGCAGAATCTTTAATCCACTGAGTCACCCAGGCACCTCAGTAATATTCTTACATTATATGTGAAGTGACTGAATGCACCTGAAGATAGACTGTGGTAATTTAGCTATCTATACTAGAAATGCTAAAACAACCAGTGAAGTAAACAAAACAAAGAATTATATACCTAGTATGCCAACAGAGGGAAAAATGGAATCATGAAAAATACTCAGTTGGTCTAAAAGAGGGTTAAAAAAAAAAAGGAAAAGTTAAACAAAGAACAGATGGAACAAATAGAAAATAAATAGCAAAATAATAGACTTTAATCTTATCATCACATTAATATAAATGATCTAAATACCTTAGTTAAAAGATAGAGACTGTCATATTGGATAAAAAGCAACAATTAATTATATGCTATGCATTTATAAAAAATGCCTTAAATATAAGGGCCTATATAGGTTACAAGTGAAAAGATGGATAAAGAAATACCATGTTAGGGGCACCTGGGTTGCTCCATAGGTTAAGCATCTGCCTTCAGTTCAGATCACAATCCTGGAGTCCCAGAATCGAGTCCTCATCAGTCTCCTAACTCAGTGGGGAGTCTGCTTCTCCCTCTGACCCTCCTGCCTCTCATGCTATCTCTCTCACCCTCTCTCTCAAATAAATAAATAAAATATTTTTAAAAAAGAATGCCATGTTAACGGTACTTTATTAATACATTAATATCAAAGACTACTTCAGAGTAAATGACACTAACAGGGATAAAAATATAATTTCACAAGGATAAGCTGATCATTTTACCAAAAACACAATTACAAACATTTATGCATCTAATAAAAGAGCTTCAAAATACCCAAGGCAAAACTTGATGGAATTGTAAGAAGAGATGGATAAATCCATAGTTAGCGTTGGCGATATCAATACCCCTCTTTCAATAGTTGATAGACCAAGTAGAAAATCGTTACAGATATAATAGACTTTAGCAACATGACCAGTCAAGCTCACCAGCAGACCCATACTCTGAGAAATGTGAAACGTAATTCAGGCAGAAAGAAAATGATACCATATGGAAATATGGAGACACAAAAAGGAATGACAAATACTAGAAGTGGTGACTAAATAGGTGTTACCTTGACATTAAGTCTGATAAAGATATGATAAGAAAATAAAGCTACCAAGCAGTATCCGTCATGAATGTAGCTGTAAACATTCTTAACAAAATTTTACCACATCAAATTCAACAGTCATGACCAGTGAAGTTGACCTCAAAAATGCAAGGTTGTTTTGACATTCAATATTCAAAATCCGTATCAATCGACTAGAAAAGAGAATCATATGATCATCTCAATCAATGTAGAAAAAACATTTGATAAAGATTTTCCTTATAAAAATCCTCAGCAAATTACAAATAGTAGGGACTTCCTTGGCCTAATAGAGAGCATCTACCAAAAAATCCAAAGCTAACATTACCATATTAAATGATGAGAGACAAATACTTTCCCCTAATATCAGGAACAAGACCTGCTATGCTGATATGCTATATCTGCTCTCGCCACTTCTATTCAGCATTGTACAGGAGGTTCTAGCCAGTGCATTAAGGCAAGAAAAAGAAATAAAAGTAACTCAGATGGGAAAGGAAGGAGCGGGACTATCTTTATTTGCAGATGACAGAATCACCTATGTAAAAAATCTGATGGAATCTATAAAAGAGAGACTGGAACTAATAAATATGTATATAGCAAGGTTGCAAGATATAAGATCAGCATAAAAAATAAAATGTATTTCTATATACTTGCAATGATAAAAAACTGAAATTTTAATTTCTATTTTTTGAATTTCTTTTCAGCGTAACAAAATTCATTGTTTATGCACCACACCCAGTGCTCCATGCAATACATGCCCTCCATAATGCCCACCACCAGCCTCCCCCAACCTCCCACCCCCCGCCCCTTCAAAACCCTCTGATTGTTTTTCAGAGTCCATTTCATTTCATTCTCAGCATCCATATTAATTTTCCAAATTTCACAATATTTGACTGGCACTCAAATATATTTCAGAATGTATGGTTTGTACCATGGCTATTACCTATCTTTTGTTGTTACAAATGAAAGAGTTTTTAATATTATTCCTTTTGTTCTCAGTAAGCTTTGAACAGGGGGTAGAATGGCAAATAATCACCTTTCTAATTTTGAATTGGAAGCAAAACTCTGCTACCTGGTTTAAATCTCAAATTAAACACATGGAGTGACAACTTCATTGAGAAATGTATTCTGCCTTTTTGTCACTGTTGCCTACAGAGTGCCAGTGAGTAGAACTGAGGGTTTACTCTTTGGAAGAGAATAATCATCTTAAGAGAACGCACTACACAAGTCCAAATTTTGATAGCAATGGCAAAAGTCACAACATCAGAGGGACACGTAGACACCCACCTGATTTCCTTTGGGTCCTGAAGTAACTCACCAAATAAGCGGTAGCAGCAAGGCCAGGCACACTTAGCAGGCACCCAATGACGCCCACAGTGATATGGATTACTTTGCTTGTGGAAAGCCCTAAATGGGAAGACCTGTATTTGAGTTCTGGTGGCAAGTGTTTTTGACCTAGACAACATGTAGGTGGAATAGAGATCTATCAGGACAGTTTTCTTCCAGGTTCTGATTCCTCCATTTGAATTATCTCCACTATAATTGGTAATTTTCAAAATAATGGCCCATGGTTGTCAGCATCTAAGATTGAAATCTATTCCGTTTCCTTCCTCCATGAAATCAACACAATCTCTGGAAGCCCCAAGCCTTTGTGTGCATGTTCAAAAACTCTTTGATGGTAGAATTTGTACAGTCTGTAGGAAAAATATTTTATTGACCTTAACTATAATCTGAAACTCAGGTACCTCCAACACACCTGTGAAGTTGAGTGTCACCATGTAACTTCTCTGGACCCCCAGGCCATTGTCAGCCCCACAGGAGTAGTTTCCAGAATGTTCTGTGGTCAGAGAGAGGTTAAAAGATGCTCCTCCTCCAGAGGGGGCCGATGTGTTCCCCAGGATGATATCTTCATGATAAAACCAGTATAAGATCGGGGGAGAGCCTCTCTGAACCTCACAGTGAAGTTCTAACAAATCTCCCACCACAGCCTGGGGCCCGGCAGGGTTGAGGGCGAGGACAGGGCGAGACACTGGAACTGAAGGAGGAAACATAGTTCATTGGCAGTTTTAATTGAAAATGTATACCAGATAATAAAGGAAACATCCAACATAATTTACTAGTAGGAATATAGACTTGGGATCAAGACAAGCCCTACCTGTGATGCTGAGCATCACTGCCTTGCTGCGCTGGGCCCCCAGGTTGTTGTCAGCTTCACAGGCGTAGTTTCCAGAATGTTCTGCTGTCAGACAGAGGTTGAAGGAGGCTCCTCCTCCAGAGGGGGCCGAGTTGGTCCCCAGGATGACATCCTCATGGTAATACCGGTACAGGATCGGGGGAGAGCCCCTCTGGGCCTCACAGCAAAGCTCCACCATATCCCCCACCACGGCCAGGGCTCTGGGTGTCTTGACAGTGAGGATGGGGTGGGATGCTGGAACTGAGTGAGATAGGAGCTGTCAGAGAGGGTCTCACCTTACTTTCCATCTTTGCCATTCCTTGGGTGGCATTTAAATTTTCACACCTCTTTTTCTTGCCTTCTTCAGAAGATCCTTCTGGCTGACAAAGAAACTAAACCCTGGCTTGGGAACAAGGTTGAGTGAAAAAACGAGGAACTTACTTCTTGGTGTGACTCTGATCCGTTTACTGAGGATGGGGCCTTGGATATTGTCGGCTGAGCAGTAGTACCTCCCAGCGTCCTGCTCCCTCACTGCGGCTATCCGCAACTCTGCTGACATGGCACGTATCATCTTCCTGCCCAAACTTCTCTCCGTGCCCTCCCGGTGCCAGGAAAATGCGATAGTCCCTGTACCCTTGGCTACTGAGCAGATAAGGACCATATCTCCTCCTTCAATCAGCTGGCCCTCAGGGGGCTGGATCTCTAGATTCACATCAGACACAGGGATCCCTAGGGGGACAGAGGAGAATTTGAGAAGGTCTCAAAGGCAGGTGCTACAGAGCCAAGGAGAAGGCTGTTGTTGCTACTAATAAGCCAATAGCAACAGGTTCAGTAGGCAGGGGTCCAAAGTGGGTAATAGGGAATTGTACATTATTATGAAGGGAACATTACCTGTCCCCACACACAACAGTTTCTGTCCTCGGGTAACCTGGGCACCAGGTCTATCTTCTTTTAAACCTAACGTTGACCACAGTCAAATTTTATGGACCTTTATCTCTAAGCCACCTCTGATGCATCAAAGGACCATAAAGAAAGAAAATAGGGAAGGTTCCTTGTATCCTGAAGTGACTTGATTCAGAACCCAAACCCCTCTCCATCCCCCAAGCCTCCTCCAGTCTCAGCACCAACTCCCAACCTTCTTCTCTATTTCAGTTTGTGTTTATCTTCCTCTTTTCTGATTATTTGGGAACAACTTTTGATTGACACATGGATACCCCCAAAGCGCCTCTACAGACTGACTGCATGTGGTCATTGGTGCTTCTTGTTAACCGTTGACCCACTATTGAATGTACCCTGTGTGTCTTTGTGGCCCTCACAGGTTAGACACCCAGCAAGTGATCAATAACGATTATTACCTAACTTAAATGGAAGAGAATGTTATAGGGAAGTTAGGCCAATGTTGAAGCTAAGAGAAAGGGATAGTGGGATGGCTGGTAGCTCCTCTCTGCCATGTTCACTATCTCAGGCAGCAAGAGAGGTAATTCTCTGCTCTCCTCTCCCTTCCCTCTGCCCCACAGACACTCACTCTGTACATGTATCTGGGATCGCAGGCTTTCTTTAATGATATTGGGAGTCACTGTCTTTGCCTGGCACCAGTAGAACCCTAAGTCTTCACTCCACATGGTGGGGATCTGGAGCTCTGAGGAGTTACTCCAACCAGGTTCCAGGACCTTATCTTCTCTGAAGAAACAGAACTGAAGCCAAATGTATGACCTTGGTGGAGGGAGCCAGGTCTCACATTTCAGGTTCACTGGGTTCCCCTCGATGGGCTGGGAAGGTCTGACTCTCAGCACAGGTTTTGGAAACAGCTCTAGAGAGAAGCACAAAAACAGTTCCCAGGGCAGTGAGACTCCGAGCTCCTGGAGAGGGACACCTGTGTTCTCAGCACAATGTCAGAAGGTAGGGACCCATGGAAATGGAACCACCTCTCACCTCCTTCCCATGGCTGCTCAGAAGAGGCCTCTTATGAAGGCCCCTCTTTGATCCCCACACAGTTTCTCTGTCAAGACCTATTACCCACAGGAGTATAGCCATTACCTTGAACTTGGATCTTTAAAGGTTTTGAAGTTTCTATCCATAGGCTCCATAAAGTTTCCACAGAAGCAGTACAATAATATTCACTATTGTCCCTGGAGACTGAATGTATTCTGACCTCTGACTGATATTGTGACCACTGTCTCATTTCTTCTTTATTTTTGTAGTAAGTCTTTTCATAAATATCTTCTTCTTCCTTCCCCTGGCATCTCAGAGTTACATCATCTCCTTCAAAAACAGGGTGTGAAGCCTGGAGGATCAGCCAGTCTGCAAAGAGTGAACAAACATATTCCATCTGTTTCTTTCTTCAAGCTCTCACTTCTGCCCTTGAGGGAAGAGCTATGGCCCTGCACACACTGGGCAATGTCCTCCACCACCATTTCCGTGTGGCCCCACTACTAATACTCTCTTGTCCTAGATAGTGAACTAATTTTCAGAAAATGTACCTAAGAGATCCTCCTCATATGTGTCATGAAAAGAGGAATTTTCTACCATATCTTCTGTCAGACCCAAGTCCCTTCTTGCCTGGTGGCTTCTGGGTTACTGATGTGTCTCTGGATGGAGAGATGGACAGTGTGCTGTCCTCCACAGCCCTATCTCCTCATTCTCCCAACTAGGATCAATTCATCCAATATCCTCATGCCAGCTTACAACACTGTCTGTGTTCCCTGCGTTCACCCAGCCTTCAGACAAGTGCCCAGCAGCCTGATTTCAGAGACTCACACCTTTCTTTCCTCACCAGATAAAAATTCCACACGCACAGGGTCACTGAAGGAAGATCTTGGGGTCTTGCATATGTAATATCCAGACTTGTCTATTTGGATTGTTCCAGGTCTACTTCCCAAGGGAATTCTATTGTAATACCAAGATACATATCTCTGGGCCCGAGAATGGCCATCCTTGCAGGTGAGATTCACTTTTTCTCCCTTGAAGGTTCTGGACCATGGAGGTTCAAGGAGAAGAAAAGCTTTTGGAGGTGTTCCTAAACAGGAAAGAGAAAGGTGCAGGCAGGTGAAGGCGGATGGGAGGTAGGTTGAACCCAGGGGAGGTCCCAAACTGCTGGTGGGCCGATTCCCATCGGGAAAGGAACAGATACTACTGGGAGACATGCCTGGGGCAGAACCTGCTCTTCCTCACCCTTTGCATAGGCCAGAAGTGGGCAGGTGGATGCCATAAGGGAGAGGTCTCAGGTCCCTGAGGTGGGTTCCGAGAAGCTTGGGAGATGGGATGTGTAGCTGGGCACGCACTATGAGGGCCTCTGAAGGTGGCTGATTCTGAAATGTTCTTGTCCCGTGCATTCCTGTCAAGGTACAGGTGGGCCTGGGATGTAGTCTCTAGACTCTGAACAATCACTTCCTACTTGGTTGCTCATAGGTAACGGACAACATATTTTTTCCTGCTTTCATTACTTTTAAACTTTGTTGAACTTGAGATTCTATGGGGAAGGCAATGTTTGTCTACACTCTGTCTAAGTCAGACACAATAAAAGATGAAGGGACATAAAGAATTTGAATGGAGAGGCATGGGCTGCTTGAGAAATCCCTTTTGTATACAAAATTGCAAATGACAAATGGGACCAGAAATTGAAGCAGGACAGCAGCATGAGCTCCCTTCAGAGTGTATGAAGATTTGGGAGCAGCACTTCCTCTGTGAATAAGAGCTTCTTTTCTGTCCTTTGATGGTGGCTCTAGTTTGAACATACGGGTGTGGGGGATGGTCCTTAGGGAATAAAGGAGACAGATGGAAGGTTCTGGACATTAGCCTCCTGCTTCTGCAAATGCTTCCTTGCCCTGCACTGATGGGGAAAGGACTGAAGGCTGCAGAGATCACAGGAGGCTCTGCTCACTGGCCATGGTGACAGGTGTGACCCCAGAGTGGCAGCACCACTCATTCTGGCACAACCTCAGCCCCCATTTACGGGGACAGGCATGCTGGCTGGAAGAACCAATGCCCAGAGAGCAGGAGGGAGAGGGAAAGGAAGACTGACCTGATTGCTCTCGTCCGGGAGCTGTGAGAGAGCCAGAGGTTAAAGGTTAGCATGGGGTGACACTGTTCCAACCCTTGGTTAGACTCTGAGAAACTCCCAGCAACCCAGCCACAGTCCCTTCTTGGGCTCTCCCTCCCATTTCTTTCCTCACATTCCATACCTCCCATGGCCCCCAAACAAAAATGCAGCCTCTGATTTCTGTGATGAGCGTGAATGGCTCGTATCTACACCCCTGGCCTCCTTGCTATGCACGCAGTAGCTTGTGCTCCCTCTCGCTCTCTTCTCTGGCCTGAACTGGGTGGAGCAGAGGCAGAGAAGGGCTTGGAGAAATGCTTTATCTCCCTGTTCCTCCTCACTTCTTGGGCACTGTTCCCCCTACTTTTCCTTTCTTTTTTTTTTTTTTATAAAGATTTTATTTATTTATTTGAGAGTGAGAACAAGAGAGAGCACAAGCAGGGGGAAAGACAGAGGGGGAGAGAAGCAGACTCCCTGCTGAGCAGGAAGCCTGATGCGGGCTTGACCCCAGGACCTTGGGATCAAGACCTAAGCCAAAGGCAAAAGCTTAACGACTGAGCCACCCGGGCATCCCTCCCCCTACTTTTTCAGTCTCTGGTTAAATGTTGGCTTAAAATGTCAGGAAGGAGCCACATTGCTCTGCAGACCTTCCTCCCCTCGCCCGTGTGGGCAGTAATTGTTTTTCTGGGCATTTAGAGGTGTGGTTTCGCAGAGAGAAAAATCCAAGCTTCCTATGAGGTGAGAAAGGAAACGGGCAGGAAGCCAAGGTGCCACAAAGGATGGCCAGGTCTGTGGAGGCTTTTGGTTTTCCTGGAAACCCAGTTCTGCTCATTTTCCACCTCTTGCTATGTGTCTGAAGCCCTTCTATCTGAAGGGATATAGAAGCCCTTCTATTGCGGAGATAGAAGCCCCTTGGCTTTCCCTCCACCTGCTGACATTAGGAACTTGGGCCCCTGTCCCAGTCTGACCCCTACTCACCCAGGATCAGCAGCAGCAGCCACAGAAGCACAGGGACCTGGTCCCGCCGATGGCAGGGAAAACCCATCTTACCAGAAGCCAGGCTTCTCTCCCGTCTGTGAAGGACAGCCAGAGAGTAGTACTCAGATAAGGCCCACAGAATTAGAAAAAGGAAGTAAAATAATCAGATCTTGCTGGTGTTCTCAAAATGTGAATGTGGCTACTTTCCTACATGGCCCTTGTCTTTCGGGCTGGTAGCTGTGCCATTTCCGATGTTGGTGGCCACCTTCTGGTGGTCCATGTCTGCCAGGACAAATGTCACCAAGGCTATGCCTGGGTCCTCAGAAAATGCCAAGCTGCGGATCTGCTAGTATGCAAATAACTTTTTCTTCATTTCTCAAATGGAAATTACCTTAAAAGCTTCCTTACCTTAAATTCATACAAACTTCGGTGTCACATGAGGTCCTAGTACAGACACACTTGGTCAGTCTGGCGTCAAAGCGTGTTTTATGATGGGAGCGCCACAAAGTCAAAGGGTTAAAGCAGATGTAAAACCTTTCTGAGCTTTATATAAGCTGGGCTGAAGTTGCTGAAGGGGAAGGTAAGAGAAGTTTGCAGACTGACTCAGCTGGTAGAGCATGCGACTCTCCATCTCAGGGACACGAGTTGCAGCTCCACATTTGGCGCTGAGGCTACTTAAAAAACAAAAACAAAAACATATCCCTCTGCAGTTTAGCAGAAGAGGCTTCCCTAAGTGCCCCAGAGACCTGCACAGATTGGGGGTAAGTGAACAAGCAGACAAACGTGAACCTATGTTGTGAAGGTCTCAGCCTGTCAACAACCACATTGTGCCTGGACCAGCCCCCATGGTTCTCACCATTTCCCCCTGCAACAAACATCAGGAAACACGGCGGGGGTGGGGGGGCGGGGGCGGGGAGTTTGTTACTCATGTGTCCTGGGAAGTACATGACACACCTGGGACCACACAGCGAGGCCACAAGACTGGGGTTCTTCTGCTTTTATTGGGATCAAGGTGGAGGGCACTTAGGGTTTCGTGGGCTTACTCTTTATTGAAGAATTTAACATAAGAGCAGAAATTTAAGTTTGTGAGGAAAAAACAACAACAAGAGATCCAAATGTTCAGTTAGTGAGATCAGCCAAGATCTCTGAAACAAAGGAGGGTAGGGTGGAGGGAGCTGGCTGGGTCCCAGAGGTGAGGAGCTGCCACCATGCAGTGGGTGCTCCGGGCACCACAAGCTTCAGGCAGGCCCTTGCCCTATAAAGGGAAACCCCCATCCACTCACACAGAAACCCTGTGTCCAGTGTGGACCGACCCCAGAGGGGCCCTCTGCAGCCTCATGGTCCAAGTGTCTTTCCTAATTATTTCCTGTTTCAGACCCACAAACACTTCTCATAGTTTTGTCAATTTCCCTCCCCAGTTCCTGAGGGGTCTTGGCCATTATCTCCTTATCTTTCTGGTCCTTCCTTCCTTCTTCTGAAATCCTCACAAGGTGGATATTGATCTGCTCATGGGCTTTTCTCCTTTTTGCTCCCCTAACTGAAGTATTTCTGGTGACCTGTTTTCAGCTCTCTGGTCCTTTCTTCTGTTGGGTCTCTAATGAGGAAAACAAAGGCAAGAGAAATCTAGCTTAAATTAAATCTCCTTACAACTTGCATCCCACTGATAGATCCCCGAGACATGTAGAGTGTGACCTTCCTGGAGGAACCCATGACAGCCTTAATGTCGTTTTGCTAGAGACTAAGAGTAATCTTATCTTAACGGCAGCTAGACCCTCAACATCTCAAAAGGCTTGCTTCAAAATTCCTTTGAAACTTACTTTATCTCTACCCCAGCTCTCTCCACAAACCTAAAAGTCAGAATGTCATCCATCACAATGCCAGTGAAGCTCTTTCTGCCCACAGGTCCTGTCCCTGTGTTATAATAAAATCACTTTTTGCACCAGAAATGTTTCAAGAATTCTTCCTTGGTCATTCACTCAGAAGCCCAAAACTTCAAATCATATCACTTATATCATTTTGTGTCCAATCTGGTGCTTTGGATCCGCTCATCTGGACTCTGATCCTTAATGCAAATTTGGTGAGTACTTCCTCTCCTGTCCCTTTACTTTCACTCTAGGAGCTTTTCATGGAGTACGGTCTTATTGAATACTTTCCTATCTATTGCTCAGGCTCTAATCCTCTAGCCTGTGGCCACTCTAGGAAGAGGAGAAATCCTGTCTTTTGGCTAGAAGTTAGTACCCTGACCAGAATGATAATAAGACCCAGAAACTTGAGGACCTCTCTTTATTTCTGTCCCTATACAAATTTGTCTGGTTTGGGCACAGGAAAGCTACCTAAGTGACTAGCAAAGCTGCTGATCGTAAGACTCCCATATGAGGTTTCCTCTTCTTTGGTCTAATGTGATCCCCTCCATACCCCTGGCCTAGCCCCTTCTGGCCAAGGGACCTCCACTAAGAACAGCCCCAAAGCAGTTAGAATTAAAACCCAACCAAGGATGTTTCCTAGAGAAACTGGCTGTAAAGTTTACATGTATTGGGATGTCACTTAGATCATGATGGATTTTTATCTTTACTGGTTTTCATTAGTGTCCTCTCCTGACAAAACTGGGTAATGTTCCCTTGTAAAGTTTTTCTGATGTTTTCCATGGTTTAGGAATGGCAGGTTTCTCATGGCACAGCACCACATTTCAGTCCATTCTCTGGTACCCGTTTGTAGTCTAGAATGCAATGGGGAAGGAGGGGCTCTCGGCAGCCTTCCTGTGGGGCCCTTATGGGATCACCTTACGGTGATCAATACCAATTCCTCTGAAGGGCTCCTCCAGTTGCTTTTGACGCCTGCGACCTCTGACGTCATGGTGTAACACCATCCGGGAGTTGGTTGGGGGAACTTTTTGGAAACCGACTTTCTCTACTTTTCTAGGAACATGGGATCTTCTTCTTCAGTCCCCAAGACTCCCCTTTGGAATAATTTTAACCCACTGGGATCAATTCAGATGACAAGATCTAAAAAATACAAAAGCTGGAGAGTTAAGATGGTGGAGGAGTAGGGGTACCCTAAGCTTGTCTCTCCCCAACATAGCTAGATAGTCATCAAATCATTCTGAACATCAGAGAAGTCAATCCGAGTTCTGAGAGAACAAACACTGCAAGTCTACAAGTAGAAAACTGACCTCCTTCTGGAAGGTAGGAGGTGTGGAGAGTTGACTTGGGGGAGATACAGCTGAGCTACGGCAGCACGGAGTGATCCTGCTTTTGGAGGCTACTGCAAAGTGTTATAAGGAGCAGAGTGCACAATCTGAACTTGTAGACATCCGCTACTGTGAGGGGCATACCAGGCTGACGGGTGCTCAGGGGGGCGAAGTGGGGCAGAGTGTCAGGAGTGACAGTACAGTTGGGTGAAGATCTCCTGGGTTCCAAGAAGAATACGTGGTGTCAGAGTGCACGCTGTTCCCAGGCATAGGTGTGGGGAAGCTGGCTCAGAGCAGTGAGTCTTGGTGTTGGATTTCTGATCCACCTTGCCGTAAACTGCAAACAGTTGTGTTTGTGCAACTGCTTTCCCGGGATGGCCAGCAAACAACAAAAGCACAGTAAGACCCTCCCCCAAGGAACAGTGTGGGTCTGCACCACAGTTGTTCCTAAAATTTGGAGTTCTGAAACTCAATTGCATGCCTGAGATAAAACAGCTCAGACACAGGCACGGCGAAAGCAGGATTCACACAGAAACCAGGGACACAAGAAAGGTGATTGACTGCACTTCTGTAAGGGTTCACTGAAGAATGGGGGATGCAAACTTACAACTCTTGGACTAGAAAGCTGAGCACATCCCACCCATCAGCCCTGAAAAACATCAGGGAGCAAGGCAGTGCCACCTAGTGGAGTCCAGGGCCACTTACACTGAGTACCACCGCTTTGTGGTACACTTGTGCTCTGGAGGTGTATCTCCATTGAAAGAAGTCAGTGTGAGAATCAACTCATCAGGGAAGGGCACTGACATCAAAATCCAAGAAGCACAGAGAACCCCCATTGACGTCAACAAAAGCTGACCATTTTCAAGGCATATCGTAGTCGAATTTGCAAAATACACAAAGAAAAAAAATCCTAAAAGCAGGAAGAAGAAAAAAGGTCCTTAACCTACAAGGAAAGACCAATGAGGTTCATAGCAGATCTGTCCACAGAAACTTCACAGGCCAGAATGGAAGGACAGGGCATATGCAAGTTGCTGAATGGGAAAAATATGCAGCCAAGAATATTTCCTCTAGTAAGGTCGTCATTCACACTAGAAGGAGAGATTAAAAGATTCCCAGGAAAAAGAAAACCTGAAGGAGTTTGTGACCACTAAACCAGCCCTGCAAGAAATTTTAAGAGGGACTTTTTGAGTGGGGAAAAGAAAGACCAAAAGCAACAGAGACTAGAAAGGAACAGAGGACACCACCAGAAACACCGACTCTGCAGGAAACACAATGACAGAAATTAATATCTTTCAACAGTCACTCTGAATGTAAATGGATTAAATGTCCCAACCAAAAGACCTAGGGCGTCAGAACAGATGAAAAATCAAGATCCCTCTATCTGCGGCCTACAAGAGGCTCATTTGAGACCTACAGAACCTGCAGACTGAAAGTGAGGGTATGGAGAACCATCTATCATGCCAATGGATGTCAAAAGAAAGCTGGAGTAGCCATACTTATATCAGACTAACTAGATTATAAAACAAAGACCGTAATAAACGTGAAGGGCATTATGTCATAATTAAGGGTCTATCCATCAAGAAGATCTAATAATTATAAATATTTATGCTCCCAACTTGGGAGCACCCAAATGTGTAAGTCAATTAAAAATAAACAAAGAAACCCATTGATAATAATACAATAATAGGGGACTTTAACACCCCACTTACAGCAATGGACAGATCATCTAAGCAGAAAATCAACAAGGAACAATGGCTTTGAATGACACACCAGACCAGATGGACTTAACATATTATTCAGAACATTTCATCGTAAAGCAGCAAAATACATATTCTTTTTGAGTATTCATGGAGCATTTGCAAGGAACATATGAGGTCACAAATCAGCCCTCAACAAGTACAAAAAGATTGAGGTCATACCATGCATATTTTCCGACCACTCTTCTATGAAGCTTTAGGTCAACCACAAAAAAGGGAAAAAAAAATTGGAAAGACGTCAAATACATGGAGATTAAAGAACATCCTATTAAAGAATGAATAGGTT